AGTGCTGCCTCGGATCACCCGACCGTAGCTGCTACCTTGACGCGGTGGTCGGCGTTGCCTATTGTGATGACCCAACCGAGCTATACTGGCTGGAACATATGTTCCTGTAGGTTCTGTCATGCTAGGCAGGTCGATTGGAGAACGGTAAGACTAAAAACAGCAACTCAAGGTCTGAGGGCGAACTCGTACTGCTGACTGTATAGGGGTGTGACAGTGATAAGGTGTTTCCATCGGACAACCAGCATCTGCAGCGATGCTGCCTTCTCATAAGGAAGGAAGGGGTTAGAAAAGGTCGACCATAAAAATGTCACACCTCACCTTACCTCACGGATCTCCGTCTCCAGGGGTAAGGCACTTTAAAGAACGGAGCTAGGACATTAAGAACCTCCCACAAAAAGGCCGTGCGCGAACGGCCTCAAGCAGTTGTCCCGTGGGCTCTGCGGTCACGCATCCAGGTCGTTAAGACCAACACTAATCCGATTTCCTTTTCAGGTTCCTCAAGAAATACCCTTCCACGGTGTGGGCAGCCGGAAAGTGACATCAGCCTTCATACCCGTAACAACACGTGAGACCAAGTTGGTCGTAATCAAATCCTCCTTACATCTAATAACTCTCCTATCGCCACGAAAAACCTTTCTCACGTTCCTTTATCATTTCGCACCGCTAATGCAGACGATTCGAGTACGCAGAACGTTATTCTCGGTCTCCTGAAATCACGCTCTAAATTATATGTCAGTAACAACGTGGAACTTCGTATGTACGTACATCAGTTCGAGTTGACATACCACATTAGCAAAGAGATGCAGTCGTCGATTCAAATCCCATAGTGGTAGAGTTAGTAAGAGTATAACCAGTAATCGGAAAGATTAGGGTTTGAAGATGTTATTCAAGGAGTACAATACAGTGAAATAAATTCGAAAAGAGGAAAAAAGGACATGAAGAAGATTAAAATTCAGAAGATTAGAATTTGGGAGAACACAAAGAGTGGATGCACCTGCGCCATCGCAAACGATCTTGAGCCATGTCATTCAAGGTCTCTAACCATCGGTTGCTATCGTCTCACGGATCCCCGGAACCAGGTAGTCCACACCTACCAACATGACTCAGTCCACTTGTTAGTGACTTTATAAATTTGTGCCATGTTTTGGTCTGGCCGCCCCTAAATTTCTTCCAACCTACTCCTACACCATAAAACATCACACGTCGGTGATTGGGCATACGTAGCACATGTCCGAGCCATCTCAACTGATGAAGTTTCACTGCTTCATCAATTGATTTGCTATCCTTACCTAGTACCCGTTTCCTAACAACTGAGTTGCTTACTCGGTGGTCCAAGGATATTTTTTATTTCGAGGGGTCTGTTATAGCTATGCTCAGATAACCGCGTGTTTCTTGCAAACACTAACTTTAAGCATAAGGAAAAACATCTTTTAACATGGCGAACCCTAATTCGTCCCAACGTTGGACCCAAATAGATCATATCGCTACCAGCCACCGATGGGGGGGGGCTCGATAGAAGACTGTCGCTCATTCTGGAGCACATGCTTAGACTCAGATCATGCTCTAGTGCGAGCGCGTATTTGTCTACGTCTTACTGGACGTAGGAAAGATGGTACAAGGAAACCCCGGTAAGAGTAGAGGATATTCGTAGGTTAGTAGTATTTGATCATAGATGTCTTCGAAACATTGCTCGTATATCCTGGGACCACCGAGTAAGCAACTCAGTTGTTAGGAAACGGGTACTAGGTAAGGATAGCAAATCAATTGATGAAGTAGTGAAACTTCATCAGTTCAATTCAATGGTGCACATGGGCCCCAGTATCCTGCGGGAACAAATGGCGTATGAACCAATCGTTGGTCACCGGCTACCATGGGACTGCATCTCCTTACGATGCTCCACTGCCTTGTGGGTCAGACGTTCAGGTCAAAGGCTCAGGGTGTGGCCCCCTAAGAAAACCACCTGCTTCGGTTTGGGCACCCGAGCAGTATCACAGCCCTCACACAAATCAATTGAGATTTGTGTGGCGCATATGTATTTGGTGCCTCCCTGTACCAATACTTATGTGTTAAAATAAATAAATAATAATATGGAAAATATTCCTTTCTCTCTGATTAACATTGAAATGACTCGTACTATTATTATTATTATTTTACCACGTCATTTATTCACCCTCCCTTATTCCTACTTTATGTATCCGTTTCGACCTAGACAGCAGCTCGCCTATGGTAAAAATTCAGCTTTATCTAAACGTTCTCGAGTCACTGCCTGGTTGAAAATTGTATGTTACCACCGAATACGAGTACTGAAGCAGTTTTTCTTTTGGCGTTTTCGTGATGTTAGTCTGGCTGTAAAAGGTCGGATCTACAACGCGTCAGTGAGAGCAGTTTTGCTCTATGCTTGTGAAACCTGACCTCTCCGAGTTGAGGATGTTAGACGACTCTCTGTGTTCGATCATCGTTGTCTCCGAAGGATTGCTGGCATCCAGTGGCAACACCATGTCAGTAATGCAGAGGTTCGGCATCGAGTGTTCGGTCACAGAGACGATAATGCAATTGGTGTCACCATCTTGAAACACCGACTTCGATGGCTTGGACATGTTCTACGGATGTCGTCGCAGAGAATTCCACGTCGTGAGTTTTTTCCGACTCTGGGACAGGTTGGAAAAAGCGGAGAGGTGGTCAGTATATGACATGGTGTCGTGGTATGAAAGAAAGCTGCAAAGAGCTGGCTTCTGATGGTCGTTCACGACTCCCTGGCTGTGGTCCGAGAGACGGTGTAACACAGTGGCTAGAGACATCAGATATGGCTCAGAATAGAAGCCAGTGGCGATCCTGCTGTAACCTTCTTTTGCTTTCTTCATAAAAAGTGGTTGTATCTTCCTTGACTGAAAGATTTCCTCTGATTGTACCTTTCCGTTTTCCCCATCATTGTTCTCTCTCTCTCTCTCCTTTTTTTATAATTCCCCACGTTCATTACTTTTTTTTATTTTTTTCTCCTTCTCTTCAAATTATCATTGTTTTGTGTGGCGCATATATATTTTGTGCCCGCTTGTGCCAATATTTATGTGTTCAAATAAATAAATAAATAAATAAACTTCATCAGTTGAGATGGCTCGGACATGTGCTACGTATGCCCAATCACCGACGTGTGATGTTTTATGGTGTAGGAGTAGGTTGGAAGAAAGTTAGGGGCGGCCAGACCAAAACATGGCACAAATTTATAAAGTCACTAACAAGTGGACTGAGTCATGTTGGTAGGTGTGGACTACCTGGTTCCAGGGATCCGTGAGACGATAGCAACCGATGGTTAGAGACCTTGAATGACATGGCTCAAGATCGTTTGCGATGGCGCAGGTGCATCCACTCTTTGTGTTCTCCCAAATTCTAATCTTCTGAATTTTAATCTTCTTCATGTCCTTTTTTCCTCTTTTCGAATTTATTTCACTGTATTGTACTCCTTGAATAACATCTTCAAACCCTAATCTTTCCGATTACTGGTTATACTCTTACTAACTCTACCACTATGGGATTTGAATCGACGACTGCATCTCTTTGCTAATGTGGTATGTCAACTCGAACTGATGTACGTACATACGAAGTTCCACGTTGCCGAATAACTGTTTCAGATCTAGAGCTTAGGGAGACATCAACGACAGTAAAACCAGACGATGTCACAGAGTCCCCGGATAAACGCACTAGAGACAAGCTTTTCGAAGCGACAGATAGAGAGCGGATTTGTGGTATTTCAGTAGAGTCTTGAATACGGGTCTCAGGTAGACAAAAACATCGATATTGAGACTTTCTAAAGACATAGACAATCCTATCTATTGTTCCTTCTAAATTAGTGTACGAACGTTGAAGAATGTTAGCTTGAATGGTATATGTGGTTTCACAAAGACTTTTTCAGTAGCATTCAACTTTCGACCAGTTAGTGACTCGAGATCGTTTAGATCTGACTGGGTTTTCATCATAGGCGAGCTGCTCTATAAGTTGAAAAATAAAATACACAAAGTGAGAATAAAAGGGAATACACAAGTGACGTGGTATAAAGGAATTATGGTCAAACATGGTGTTTTAAATGAAAAGTTAGTAAGCAGATATACTAAACACCACGCTTTGTGAAAATTCCGATTACGTTATCTGTACTCACCTATAGAAACAATACGTATACTCATCCTGAAATATTGATGAGTAGGATGTCTGAACCACTTAATCTCGGAGGTTGACAATAAGCTCTTATATATTCAGGTGGAATTAATATAAAAAAGCCTAAACCATTCGGATAATTAAAGTAACCCATTCTGTCATTAAATAAAAACAAAGAGAATTCAGCAAAGAAAATTTTTCTTTTCGACGTAATCATCTACTTAAGCTGTACATAGTTAGAAGGTAAATATATGTCTATATAAGGATAGAAAAGATTACATCATAAAATGGTTCGAGACTCCGATTATTATCATTGGCCTCACAAAGCAATCACTTGCTAAACGCATCTCAAAACACTGCCTGGCATGGCTCTTAAAAGGAGAATGTAAAACAATTACCAGTTCAATACAGGAGAATCTAATCAACTCTAGACACATCTCTCCGAAGGAGTCTTCTTTTTAAATAATCTACACAGTCGAAAGAACTGGAACTAAGGGAGGTCGAATCAAAAACTTATGCACTGCTGAGGCATTGGCGATCCACCAATTCAAGCCCGAACTCTGTGTGCGAAAACGATACGTCTAACCTCATCCTTCCTTGGTCCTAATTCCTTTCTGTAGTATAATTAAAGTCTCGAATCACTTTATGATGCAATCTTTTCTATCCTTCTGTAGACATATATTTACCTTCTAACTATAAATACGAATGTACAGCTTAAGTAAATGATTACATCAAAGAGAAAAATCCTCACTGAATTCTCTTTGTTTTTATTAAGTCATTCCTTTTTTCTTAATTTAACTACTACACTACCTTCAGTCATTTTCACTGTTTTTCTTCATCCTATTGGTTTTTAGAACTTCACTTTAAAATTCTTGTCCCTAATGTTGCTGCTGGGGCGATCATTGGAAAAAAAGGAGAAGCTATCGAAACAATCAAACGTCAAACTGGAGCAAGGCTCAAAATGTCTCGAGCAGATGACTTTTATCCGGGTAATTCAACTCGTTTTGTAATTTATTTGTTAAGGAACCACTGAACGAGTGTGTCTCATTGTTGGCACACTTGAAGCATGCATACAGTTACACGATTATGTAATGGCCAAAATAAGCAAACGACCTCAGAATATAGCTATAATAACTCCAACGGGAGTTAATTGCATGGAACGTCATAAGCAGGCAAGTTGTCTCTTTAACTAATTAACTTTTGCTACTGAAGGTTAAAATTTTAGTTCCTGACAGTACGGCTGGCATTATCATTGGAAAGTTTGGGAACTTTATTGAAAGAATCAAGGAAGAAAGCAATGCTTTCATTCAAGTTTCTCAAAGACCGAAAGATATAAGATTGTTTGAACGCTGCATTGTAATAACAGGTAAGTTAATAACTTTTACAATCATATTTAGCTTTCCTATTAATTACTGTTTGGTTCATTTTCACTCTCATAGTTTTATAAATGTGGTCCTGTCCCGGCTTAATAGCGTCAGGTTCTTGTTGTTGTATTTATATGACAGCTAAAAAGGGATAGCATATGAGACTGACCAATGAACTGAATGTCTCAAATTTCCTTATTTAAAAACCTGTGAAATTAAACTAAAGTATGTTAACCGTTGAGTTTAGCATTGATGTTTCCTTGGACTTTCAGTGTTGCTTTTTATCGGGTCAATGTAGATGTCTTCAGTATCAGGTATATGCCTATAGTCTATCTGTTGTATTTATTGTTCATGAGTAGCTACCTGAATCAAATATATTTACTTTTTAGAAAAAATTAACTGTCTATCTCCATAAGTTTAATTTCAGGCGCCTCAAAGGCTCAATTTCGTCTTGTTTGGATAGAAGATTAATCTATGTCCTTGATTCATTCAAAATGACGGTTTTTATTTTGCTCTTAAGGAAAGTACTTTGTTGTTCCTTAGTTGTTTTTCAAATAATGTTTTTTTCTTCATCCCACCGCACAAACTAGTAACTATCAGGACTCGGTAGCTACGTGGATAACACAATGGCACTTGGAACAAACGGTACTGGATTTGAGTCCCGGAGTGAGCATCAACTCTGGGATGCAGGTACATCCATCTGGCGAGTCCTGAATAGGACGAAACGTGTGTCCTAGATTCCGCTTTTAGTCACAATTCTTCTTTACTTATAATATTTGTTTCTGTTGTTTGGTAGTAGCTAAATTTTAGTTTTAAACGATAAACTAGCGACTAGCCCATGGATTTTGAAAATTCTTGGTTTCCTGTCAAATATTACTCACATTACATGTTTTGTTTACAATTTTAGGCGAGTTAAAAGAGAGGCGAAAAGCAGTAGAAATGATATTGTACAAAATCCTTGAGAATCCTGATTCAGCTTGTTATTCAAATTGCTCTTATTCTCAAGTTAAGGAACCAGTGGCCAGTGCATTTTCAATAGGTTCCCCATTTGCAATTACGTACCGCCCTCCAGTAGATATGAATTACTCAATTATAGATTCGGAGTGTAAGTCAAAAATTTCAACCTCAAGTCTTCCTGATGCAAGTCTATCAACTGTAACCTTCGAACACGAGTCTACTACTAATCAAATCGATCCCCTTCTCTGTAATCAGTCTTTATCAATGCCACCTGCAAATGCTAATCTTAATTCAAGTATGTACTTCTATTCTCAGTCATTTATCGTTAACAGCAATAAGTAATATGTGATGTCGTCCTGGGAGCTGCACAGTATTTTAAGGTTTTGATTTCACTTTTTTCATGATCGTGTAATTTAGAGTTCATGTAAAAATGTACGTGGTTTTACGGTCACCATTTAACCTGTAAACACCATGACGCCGCTTACTTATGTAATAACTTGGGAAAATAATTCATGTGATAATTGTTCCTGTGTATGTAGCAGTGAAAGTCAAATATGATTGGTCGTTGAGTGTGGACAAACAGCCATAGCTACAGACTATTCAATGTGTGATCTCCCTTCCTGTCATTGATTTGTATTTCTAACTCACTGAATGTGACTGCCTGTAGTTGTTTTGAATAAATTATTATCTAGTGTTAAGCTGGTTCTCCATTTTGGTTTGCGAATCCTAGTTCTGACAACGTGACTAGTTTTATTAACGTATTATCGTAATATCCGAGATATATATATATATATATATATATATATATATATATATATATATATATATATATATAATACTTTAGGTATCCGTTATATCACTAAATAATTACAAAACTTGTCACACTTAATAGTTTATTCTGATGTCAAATAAATTAAAAGGCCGTTATATTAGTTAGGATCGCACTATGGTTTTTATTCCGATTAGTTTAAACGTATTCAGTAGGGTTTATAGATATACAAACAGTTCCAAATTGATAATAAAATTATGTGAAATCAATTAACCTAATTTCAGTCTTTTTAACTAAAAGTACTTCTAAACTTCTTTACAATAATGCGAAACAGTTTCTCAGTTAGGTTTTTATGTACAGCAATAAAACTAAGATAATGTTGTTGTTAATTTTATTTTATTTGAACACATAGATATTGGTACAAGGAGGCACCAAATATATATGCGCCATACAAATCTCATTTGATTTGTGCGAGGGCTGTGATACTGCCCGGGTGCTCAAACCGAAGCAGGTGGTTTTCTTCGTGAATAATACCCCGCCACGAAAAGGCAGTGAGTAGGACTTCCCTGGCAGAGGCTATATACGCGTGGCCATGTGAGAGCATTTCGAGAGGGAGAGCGGACTCTTCCCACTCTCGGCCGTGACAGAGCATTTGAGGGCAATGTTGTTGTTGGTAATGATGAGCTATCTGACGAGTGACTATCTTTCAAATCTCAACAAACGCATCAATCATTTCAAAATATTATCTTGCAAATACAGTATACAATAAGTATGAAATGAAAACAAAAGGATAAGTAAACGTAAAGCAGTAGCATCTTAATTTTAGAATAGTACAGATATAAGTTCTCCGCTTGAGTAGGTCTCATTGTATAACATGTAAATACAACTTTTCTTTTTAGTTGCACTCTTTTTTTGAAGTTCACATTTCTATTAGTAAAATGACTGCCATGGTCAGCGGAAAGAGACTATTTAGTAAAACTCGAAATTGGTTACAATTGCCGTGATACACTCATTAAGTTTTCCATGTCTTATTATTCTACACTTTCTGTGCTAATTTCATTCCCCTCTTTTTACTCTTCTGTAATACTTATTGATTCTTACAAATCTTGCCGATATGAAATGTAATAACTTTGACTTGTATACGTTTTCACAACGTTTTGTATTTATGTCAATTTTATTTAATTATCTCATTTTGAATCTTTTACAATTTGACCAAGTAAGAATTTTTAGTGTTTGGTTTATCAATGTTAATGTATAAAGCTGTTCATGTTCCTTAACGTTTAGTAGTTTTACCTTATGAAATTGTTTAAATAATTGTTGAACTTTTTTCAGACATTAATTTTAGAAGCAAAGATACCTAAAAATATATGCATTATATTTAGATAGTTTAAGTCTCAACAACACAGATTAGATGTCATTTTTATTACTATTTTTTTCAATGGACATTCTACTTCCTCGATTCATAAGACTCGTCATTAATTTCAGTCCAGTCTTAGAACGAGTTTTGTTTATTCTTCCCCAAAAATACCTTGGATTAATTCTCTGGTTTTTAGTATGTCATAAAGTAAGTACATATTTTATGACACTTAAAATATGTATTAAAGAGAGTGAACTCTCTGTAATAACTATTTTAGGTTGAGATCATGATATTTTTAAATCCAAGTATATATGAAACGATATACTTTCAACCGAACAATTTTACTGCATTAATTGTTTGGCAGTGTTTTGTGATACAATAAGAGCTTTATCATTTAGTCTCAGTCTATTTAGAAAATCAAAAACTAATTTTTCGATTTATTATTTTCATGATTTTTGATGTGAATTTTTCATATAGTAATTCCTGTTATTCCTTGGATCGATCAAAGTTTTGCATATAGAAGCACTAATGCAGTTACCAGTTTGACTCCATGTGACAATGTATCTCAACCGTTGGTGGCCCAATCGAATTTAACTGATCAGCCAGAACCTGTTCATTCTGACTTGGGTTTAAAACAAGTCTTTTATCTCGGACATCCTTCTGCTTGCTGTCCAAGTTTTATTCCACAAACGTATGGTATTCAGAACTATATCCCACAATCACTGATGAAAGTAAATGAAAAGGTTAGTTAAGTCTTTAATTTCAACCTCATTCAAATTACATAAGAATGTTTATGTCGTCGGGATTGTAAATGATATTAGAAACCAATTAAAATTAAGAACGTTGTTTTGAGCTGAATTTCTTCTTCATATGACTATTCATTTTAGATCGCTGTAACACCAACATTAGCACCTATAACCCAAACCACTGTTGAAATCAATACATTGAGTGATCCTTATTACTTTATATCAGGTGGTCAACAGGGTGATAGTTACCTAACAACTCTAGGAAACAAAATTGAACGTAGTGTACCTTTCGAAAATTCAAGAGACAATAATCAGTCACATTCTCGTTATTTCAGTGGAGAGTCGGTTGATTCAGCTTTCACAGAAAGTGTACTCAGTGTCAAGCTTCAATCATCTACGGAGGATTTTATGAGTGACCTATTTCTGCAGCAACCGTGTTACCATCAAAACAAGCAGACATATCAAGTTCAGACGATAAAATCGCCTAACTCAGTATATTCAGTTTGTTCAAGTACCGAAAGTTGTAAACATTCTTCTGCCCCTAATGAACAATTACTTGTTAACTCTCAAAGGTCGAATCGCCAGGTTAGTTATGAGTTGAGATTCCATTTTTAGTATAATTATTTGAAGAATATTTACTCCAGCGTTTTCACAAAAATTGTTTACCAGTGTTTAGTTGTAGAATAAAAAGACAACGCGAAGCAAAGTTGTGTTTATGTACGTAATCCTATTCATTTACCAAGTACGGGTTCGTAATTTTTTGCCTTCAACTATGGTGATATAACCGAAGTGCTCAAAACAGACTGTCTCAGCTTGGTTGTATTACTGGCAAGATAAGTAGCTTTTAATAAGTAACTGTAATAAGCAATTGTTATCAGTGAACATCTGTTAAAAAGCCAAATCACATACATCATTATCAGCTTAATTACACTTCAAATTCACTAACTCTAGCTACTACGTCAACATATTCTTCAATTCAAAGGAAAATCTCGTAGATATGTATTAAACGAGGACTCAGGTATAGACAACCAGTGTATTTTAACACAAAATTAAAGAATGTCTTGCTTAAATATGAAAACCATACATTAGATGACTCATTTGCAAATCTCCATCATTTGTCCTTCATATTCCTTATGATTTTCCCTATTCGCAATTCCTTTCTATTTCCGTTTCTGTTTTCTTCAAGTCGACCCTCATAGCCTTTTGCTGCCAGATTTCCTACATCCGATTAGTGTTACATACTACTTGTGTCTGCTGGCATAAATAGTACACACCACAGATACTGAAATGTATCTGTGGTGTAGTTTATATGGGAACATAAACTGTAAATGGTAATGATGTCGTCCATCAATCCTTCAAAGTTTTTATATAACTGCCCACTTAGTGATTTACTTAACTATTTGCAAACATATATATACACCTCAGATCCTCCTTGTTAATCAATTATGCTTTCCAGATGTGTGAGTTTCCGTCTGTTCCAGAGATTTTCCGTAAAGTGTGATTGCGTTGGTGTTCTCCGTGTTGTATTTGAGGATGTTGCTTTTTTCTTTGGGTATGTTGAGGCCTACTGATGCACTGGCTGCTGCTACACCAGTTTTCTTCATCTGCATTTGTGCGTATGTATGGGACGGCTTGGCTAGGACATCTGCGAAGTCCAAATTGTCTAGTTGATTCCGAGCTGTCCATTGTATTCCGTGCTTTCCCACAGATGTGGAGGTCTTCATAATATGGTGAACCACCAGAAGAAAGAGAAAGGATGAGAGTAAGCAGTCTTATCTGACCCCTGTCCTCGCTTGGAATGAGTGCATGATCTGTCGTCCATACACGAATTTGCACTGCAGTTCGTCGTATGAATTCCTGGTGATATGGACAATCTTCTCAACGACCCCTTCCATAGTGTCGAAGAAAATTCCATAAGGTTCTCCCATCCACACTGTCAAACTGTTTCTCATAGTCAACAAAATTGATATTTAGTGACGTGTTCCATTCAATTGATTGCTTATCGATGATCCTTAAAGTCCCTATTTGATCTGTGCACGACTGATCCTTACGGAATCCGGATCGTTGATGTCGAGGTTGGACGTCTACAGAATGTTTCATTCGGCTCAGCAACACTGTTGAAAACGTTTCCTTGCACCGATGTAGTGTGATGCGTGTATAGTTCTGACACATGCTCAGATTTCCTTTCTTTGACATCTTGATGATGCATCCTTCTTTACATGGGGCATGTTTGCATTTACTTCTATGTGTGACTTCAGTGCTTTAGCTGGTATACTGTCAGGTCCTGCTGCTTTCTCACTCTTGATTTGTCTGATAGCTATGTTGATTTGTTTGATCGTTGGTTGATTGACAGTTGTAGGAAGGTCTGTGTGTGCTGCTCCGATGTCTGGTGGGGTCAGTAGGCCTGGTCTATTCAAGAGTTCCTCGAAGTATTATACCTATATGTTCCTCTGTTCCTGAATCTCAGTGATTGGTTTACCTTCTTCGTCCTTGACTGGTCTCTCCGGTTTACTACATTTCCCTTCCAGTTTCCTTGTTGTGTCATATGGTAGTTTCATATTTCCTTCTCTTTCAACTTTTTCCACTGTCGTTGCTAGGCCTTCCACTTATTTTTGCACGTCAGCTCCAATGCTCCTCTTCGCTTACTTGCTTCTGTGTATCCGGTCTGTGTCTTCACATTCTCTGTTCTTGTTCAGCTATTGTTAATTGCTGTCTTCTTGTTCTTCCTTTCTTGAATCCTATCCAGGGTTTCGATAGAGACCAATTATTTATGATAATGATGATGCTTGTTGCGACTTAGCACCTCCTGACACATTGAAGTTAGTGCTTCTTTGATACCTTTCCACTTATCCTCCGTAGTTGTTTCTTCTTCTTTGAGTAGATCTTTAAAAGTGTTAGAACCTGTTGTTGAGAGCTATCTTGAATTCGTTGAGCTTGTCAGTATCTAGAAGGAAAGCTGTATCGAATCTTTGTAATGCCGTCTCCCAAGTTGTTCAGTGCTTTGTTATGTGCAGTTTCATTTTGGCAACCACGAAGTGGTGATTTGAAGCTATTTCAGCTCCTTTCCTAGTTCTCCCGTCTTCCTTTGACCTTCTGAATGTTTAGTGATGCAAATATAGTCAATCTGGTTCTGTGTAATGTGATACGGTGGATTAGTTCTAAATCCTTCACTATGACCCAAACGTATTATTCCCCTATCTCATCTAGATTTTGGTTTCCTATATTATTTCGTACTTATTGTTCTTCTACTTCATTTTCTCTGTTTGAACCAAATTCTTTATGCCTATTTTCTTAATATCATGAGTACTATTATTTCGACTCTGATTAGTTTTCTCTCATTTTGGTAATGTATAAAAAATTAGACTGATTCGTAATTGTGTCAGGTCTGTACATTAACAACTAACTGGTTTAAAAAATTATTTTATCAACAGTTTATATTTATCACTGTGACTTTTTCAAATGATTTTTTCTCTACTTTCGGGAATTATTCTAGATTACTTAAGATTATATTCAACGAATTTATCTATTTCTTTTGGTTGAAATTTTTATTTATTAAGAATTCTCTTGTCAATAATGAATCAAACGATAATTTTAATCGATCATTGTCAAATCAACTCCAAACATTTGAATTTGCCTGCCTTCCAACTGAGTCCTATGGATCTACTGTCGGAGGTGTTCTACTAGTCGGCACGGTACAACAGTTACATAATACACTTAATTTCTTAGAATGGCAAGCCAAACAACAACAATTATTGTATAGTTTCACATCAGGAATTATTATGACATCTACTGATGATCAAGTAAGAAATGTATCCAATCTCCCACCAACCACAGTAACAGCATATAATGGGAATCCAATAAATTTATGTCACACAACATCATTCAGTCCTGATGTATCTTTGAAGTTGGACACAATCCAACCATGGTCAATACCTAGACATATGGCGCCGTTAAGTTTGAATTTACCGATAAATAATCGGTGTTAGTAAATATAAAGCATTTGTCTATTAACTGTTTAATCATGAAATTTCTATTATTCTGATTTAAAGATTTACTTTATTCATATTTACACCATTCTCTTATTCAACTCTACTTATTTATTCACTATTGAGTTTTACATAACTTACTCATTTTCTTTTAAAAAACGATTATTTAATAATTTATTCATAGTTGTGTCCTTTTTTCACATATACACTATCTTTATTTTGGTTTAATTTCGTTACTTTTTTTCTCTTTTGATACTTGTATGGTTACCCGGTGTTGTCGAACGTTACAGCAAAATGTATTTTCAATATATGTTTATATATACACATCCCTCTTGGTAATGCGTCACAGGAATACATCAAACTTTATATTTTTTACATTATTATTATTGTTCTTGCCATTATTATTATTATTATTATTATTATTATTATTATTACTATTATTATTATTACTGTAGTTTCTATAGCATTTATTTTCAACTTGTTGGTTATAGTTTCTATTCTGAAAAATAACATTTTTACTAGGTGACGCGTTCTTTTATAGGTCAATCTATACATAAGTTTGTTGTTCAACAAGAAATTGTGACCAAAGAATACCCTTAATTGTTATGTTAACTCTGCCTCTCCCCTATTCAATCCATAAAGAATTGACATTGTCAGTTTCTTCATGCCTTATCAGATACCATTATTATTATTACCGCCACTTTTATAATTATCTAATTATACTTTATGTTATACACTTGTTTCGTTTATGAAATACTACCTGAAATTTTCTATTAATTTTAAATCAATTTGGGTCTTCTTTTAATTAAAATTTATTGCCGATTAATGAATTCTTTTTTTTCTTTACATTATCACTGGGTTAATTTAGTCAAAAATTTTTTTCTCAAATCATTTTGATATTTTGTTTTCCTTACTAATATTGTTATTAACCAATTAACTAATCACTTAATCGATTATTGATCTAGTTAACGTGTTTTTTTTTACTGAAATCAATTTTTTTTCCGAACATTAAGTTAATATATGCCCTTTCATTTATACTTTATCATTTGTTATATTATGAGAAATATAGTTAGTTTTGTATTTACTAATTGTTTGTTTGTCTGATATTTACATTTTGTCATGTTATATTGTTATTGGACATAAGAAATGCAGCATGAATATATATATATATATATATATATATATATATATATATATATATACGTATTGTTTACCTCAACGTCTTAATTTTATGCGTTTTTCTGTAGTACTGGTATAGTACACAAATTTTATTTTGAAGATTGTTTCTATTTATTTTAATGTATATGAATAAATTATATCTCAAGTAAATAAAATGAAATATGTTTATTTATATGCTTTTAAGCATGTTTTCTTTCTTTGTGTACTTGTTGTTTGTACTTGATATTTATACATTCATTTTTGTGTGGCTTTCGTAACTAGCTATATTTTGTAAATTACAGACTTGATAATAGAAATTTATACTAATGCTTAATGAGAGTATCAATAAAAATCATAAATTAACACTTTATTATAACGTACTAAAAAGTCGATTAAGTAAATGTACAATTACCCACGTATCTGTATTTTTTCAAGCGTTTAGCTATAAAATGGATTAGTAATGACCATTTCCGTACTAAGAGTCGTGAGAATTTAACAGACTTTCGTAAATTTGAAACATAACTAACGAATTTCGGTGAATTATTCTATTCATCATATCATTCTCACCAATTATTTTTTGGTGTGAAGAAAAAAGTTATTTACTGACTATGAACGAAATCGGATAATGTGCAGCTATGTTTTGCAATGCTGTTAAAATACTCATTCGATTATCAAAAACGGGTATACGTTTGACCGTTTATTTCCATCGAAACCTCACATGAATTAAATAAATAGTCATATTGTGATTTCATCTTGTTAATCACTTAAGATTGTTGCTCCAATCTTTGATTGATATTTTGGACGAAGTAGTTTGATTCGATCGGACGATACAATCATTATATTTGTTTTTACCAACCAAACACGAAAACTCGATTGTTGAAGACTGGCTGGTGAGTAAAAAATTGTCGACTATTTTAGGGCAAAAATCCTCTTTGTTTGTTTGGTCTACGCATATGGGATTTTAGGATCATCCAAGACCAGTTAAAACAAATGTTAAGTACCAAATGTGAAAAAGGTCCTTAACCACTTAGTTGCAACTATTGTTCTTTAAATTATTTGTAATACTTGATTTCTTTTCGTTATGGTCAATCATAATGTATTATTTATCAAACTCTTTAAACTAACGAACCTACTTTAATTCTTTCAAGATCATAAGTATTGGCCTAAAAATAACTGATCACAATCGATCGGATTTGAGCAACTTTATATTAAACATATCAGACAAAGCAGTTTAAAAATCCCCATAGACTATTCAAAAATGAAGAATATTTGAGCGAACAATTGTTTTCAATAACTTCATCATCAGGCTCTACAGTTATTAGTCCGTAATTATGATATTTTACTAAGGCCAAAAATAAGGCATGTATTAATGAATTTACCTTTATTTTAATCTTCACATCCATCATTCCCAATTCGTTTATCGTAATTACCTTGATAACACCCCCCTTATTAGATATTATATTCACACAACAATCTTATTATTATTATTATTATCTCAATTGACAAGATTAAATTCTCCTACTATGCATTTTATTCACATAATTTTTTTGCATTTTCATTTTTGCTATGATACTATTCCACTTATTGTGACTGGACACTACTCTAAATCATCCTGACCTTTAGTGAATGACCTTTCTAATTTGCAAATAATACAATTTTGAAGTATACATATCGTAACAGATGCAAACGTGCACCATTTTCAACGCATAACATTGTCAAATTCATTAATACATGCCTTATTTTTGGTCTTCGTAAAACGTCATAATTATGGACTTATAACTGTAGAGCCTGATGATGAAGTTATTGAAAACAATTGTTCCCTCAAACACTCTTCATTTTTGAATATCAGACAAATTTTAATGAAACTGTGATCAAGAGAAAAACAAGGCTAGATGTTAATGCATAGTAAGCTACCAGTGAACAGAATCTCAGCAGAAAGTGATTTGGAAAATTGAACATTTAGCACCAGGAAGGAATACACCTTAGGGTTTTTGTTTACACCTTTCTGATCATTAAGTTGGATAAAATATTTGCTACACCTAGTCTGTTGTTGATGATATATCTTTCATTGGAAAACCGATATTAATTTCATTCTTCTCTGTAAGTAATACATTGTTGTCTACATAGAGACAAATGGACAGGTATGAACATATTGAAATGGTCGTTTGCGATAGTTTGCTATATAGGCTGTGCAAAAACATGCAATCTACTATCACTTCCATAAATAACGGTTTTACTGAGTTTGATGTCCATTTAATTATATCAGCAAGTGTGATATTTTAGAAGTCCAAATGAGTATGTGTAAAATTGATGTGATTTTTGTTGCAGAATTGTAAATTTCAGTTTATATTTATTAACTATAATATATAACTATTTTTAATGAAAGTATTTCTGAGCAGAGTCATCTTTACTTTTCGAATGCTAGATAAGTTAGAAGTTAGTAGCAAAGAATAATTCATTTTTATTGACGTGTCAGTTGTCATTGGTCTATTTTCTTTGTTAGCCATTCATTGTCAACATTCTTATAGATTTCAATTCTTATAACTCTATTAACCGCGCACGTCTATTCACTAACCCCCAAGATGTAGATGTTACCAGGTATTGAATATTTATGAAATATATTTCTCTGTAAATTTGCACATATACAAATCTACTTTTTATTATTTACCTGACAAACATTATCCATAAATTTTATGATTTTTCAATCCTTAAAGCAACATACTAAACTACTTAGTCGTGTTTATTTATATACAGATTCAGTTTCTTCCAATGAGTTACATCAATCAAAATTGATTTAAATATGGGGAATGTGTATTAATATTAATTTCTGCAGTTCAAAGGTTGATACCTTAATATTTAGGTTATTCATTATCCTTGTATTTGCGCAAAACACAGAAATTCTCTATAAGGAGAATATTGATGAAAAGTCACCCAAGATTAAGTAATGCCATGCGTTTATGAAATATCTCTCCATCTTTTGTTCTATAAACTGGAATCTTAAGTCTCATGGATAGGTTAAACAAAAGGTTGTACCATTATTAGGCTTAAAATGGTTTAGCGTTGATAAAATCGGCAGGTTAACGTGCATTTTTCAGGTCTTTCATTATTGATGAACCTCATTAGAAATTCCGTAAAACTACTGTTCGACTAGTTCAGTTTCACTCCTAGTTAACAAATTTAGTGAGGATATTGCTACTTTATAATAAAAATAACATATTACTAATATAGGCACCATTTAAAAATATTTACCTGTCCACTATTACCCATAATGTGCTTTAAGATAGCTCTAAAATAAATCTCTGTATATGCAGATTGGAAATACATTTAAGAGCTTTACATTTTAAAACCACTTAGATGAAGGTCTTGTTCATCCTTGAATACTACTATTTATGTGGTTTTCGATGAAAATTGTATCGTGGTTAGTACAGCTTAACCATAGTATTATTAAATGAAAAGGTATTTAGAAGTAATTTTGTTGTTTAGATGTTAATAATGCTATATATAGACGGAATGTATTGAAATTTAATAATATTTCTTTAATATGAAATAGTATACTGTTATTACAAGTTTGTCTCTTCGGTCTAATTTCGATTCCTTTTTTGGTTCAAATTTATAGTGCTTTTTGTCCAAACTATTCGCATTAAAATATACTTTTTATTTGCTATTTGTTATCGTTATACTAGTAAAACCCATTAGTATGTTTGTTACAGACTACCTGTATCACTCTGTAAGTTATTCTTTGATGTACACTAATCACTCTTATGAACTTAAACATTTTGAATTATCGAACAACGGTTCAATGAACATCATTATATAAACTAGTGTATGAACACAATTTGGTTTTTGTTAGTGTCAACCTTGAATGACAAGGATAATACAGTTTTGATGTAATTCTTCATAAGTCTAAAGTTAACATAATATCATTTTCTAACACAGAACCAAAGCCAATAAATATTACTTATTTTTATGGTTCTTGATTATTTTCATGATGTTAGTGTTTGTGACCTAAGTTTAAATTGTTGATCGAATATAATATACTGTCTCGTCCATACAGTAGTAATCTGTAGTGACGTCGGACTTACAGTTTACTTAACAGCCAGTTGCTTAGGGTGGTATACAAATATAATTGGTTGGTTAAGCGCCTGGCGCGAGACTGATAGGTCCTGGGTTCGAATCTCGCGAGGAGCGGGATCGTGGATGCGCACTGCTGAGGAGTCCCATACTACGACGAAACGGCCGTCCAGTGCTTCCAGGTTTCCCATG